TAATCTAGTGGTTTCATGGGCTTCAGAGACATCTCCTCCCAGCTGTCTTCTTCCAGATACTAGAAACTCTAATATTTACATCAGAAAAGCAGATGGGCAAGGCTCTGTCCTCATGGAGCTTCCATTCTGGCAGGACTGTCTACCCTTTCTAGGTACTGTTACGTTGCTCACTCCAGCTCTGGTGTCTTGCCTAAAGTCAGGTGCCCAAGCTTTGAACAAAGCACAGTAGAAACTCAATTAAGACTGTGTTTTCTGTTTTGTTGCCAAAATCTTTTGATGAAGCTTAGTATTTCCTGTCCTTTTTAATCTGCAACAACAAGCTGGGACAACACTGTGCAAGTATTTTCAAAGCCCTTTCCTGGATTTTCCCACCAAAACATCATCCTATGACAGCTCCATAATTCCCTCCTTAACACCTGACTTCACATTTGCCCACCAAGAAACTCACCTGCAAATCTTCTGATGACTAACATATCCTAGCACAGTTTCCCTGGAGTAAATCCCCATTGGTTAGCTATTTCATAATTCAGAAGAGCTTACTGTCATCTGTAAACCTAGAAATTCCACTGGGTACTCCTTCTTTTGGATCAATTATGTAAGTAAGACCTAAGGGACCCCACTGTTTACACACCTCCAAGCAGAGATGTCTTTAGCCTTAGATTTAATTTGTGGTCTTTAAGGTAGGTGGATTCTAATGCCTGCTCTGTCACTACATCAGCTCCACAGGCCTCAATTTCCTCATCTATCTAATTCAAACATTGATCACTCCCATCTGTAAAATTCTCTCCTCCTACTCAAAAATGATACACTGAATCCTCAATCCCAAGGTGACTTCAACTTTGATACAGCCTTTGAAAGTGTAAAAGGACGGTCTCCAAGGGTTTTCAAATATTTCCCCCCTCAAGAAATCTCATAAATTCACAAAAATCCCTTCTTCTCATAGGAATATCCTTCATCTCCAGAGGATACAGACAGGTTTCCCACGTGGGCTAGCACAGAAGTGAGAGCAAGCAGACTGTACCATCTGGACAGGCAACACACCTGCAACGAATTGGGGCACAATGGACATTCATAACAAAGAGGTTACACATTTTGGCTATGAGATCTGGAATTTTGTTCTAGCACTCTCTACACTGTTGGATGGCAACCACCTGAATCAAGTAATTTATTTAAATCTAGTTTGCTGGATAGATCTAGAACATTTGGAGAACTTGGCACTAAGTTACCTAGGACTTCTGACATGTCCACTTCAAAAGACATCCAAGAATGGTAATTTCCTAACGTCTTCTCAGTGAAGACACGTGAAATCTGATAAGTGCGATATTACACCACCCACAAGCTAAAGCTTAGTACTGGGAGAAAGGCCTATCTCTAATCCCCAATGCCCCCCACCTTCCCCAAATGTAAAGCTCTCACTAATGAAGTATTTCAGGCACACTAGCAAAAAAAAAAAAAAGAAGAAGAAAAAAAAACACTTAGCCTGAGTGGGAACAAACTTCATCCATGGTTTTTGCCAATACCAGTTATGACCCAGTTTACCTCTTCACAAATTTCAAAAGCAACCCGGATTTGGCAAGCTTCAGATTTGCACAGAACATTAGCAATGCTCTTCCAGATGTCTAAACAGAATTACAAAGACCCCAGAGGAGTACCGATTTCAGAAGCTTGCAACAGCCTGAAATAATTTCGAAAGGGCACCTCAGGTGCAAACATTAGCAAGAGCCTAACTCAGTATAGCTTGGCCACGAACACAAATTTCTCAGACGCCCCTAAACTTGGGGCTAATCAACCCCCGGAATTCACCTCCATCACCCAGTACGCCCAGCTCTCAAACAGGACCAGCAGTGCCGAACAAAGTACTGGGTTTCATGAAGTATTAACATAAGTGACTACAAAGCTTTTGACAAAGTCGTCCTCCACTCCTCTCTCATGTGATTACAAGGCAGAACTACGATTTTAAAATCCCAAAAGGCCTGAAGACTGGACCAAAATAAATAGGATAGAACTGAACAGGGACAAAAACAAACCAAAAACACGTCCATTCAACTTCACACACACACACACACACACACACACACACATCTGCATGATGAATACAGGATGCAGCAGCTCATACAACAAATATCTGGGAGTTCTGACTGTCCAGAATCCTGTACATGAGTCTGTGATGGGCAGTTTTGTAAGCTTAAGCTGCAGAAAGTAGATGCTTGTGCCTTGGTCTCAGGAAATAGCTGTCCTACTGTACTCTTTGTGAACCAGATCAGGTCTCAGTTACCATATTCAATTCCAGTTCGCCAAAACTTTCCATGACAGATGTGGACAAACTGAGAAGACAGAAACCATGTCCCATGCAGGACTGTGAAAAGAATTGGGACTATTTTGCTTTGAGAAAAGTTAATCAGCTGGAGGGCCAGGAGGGGGACGTCATTCTGTCTTTGCCCATTCGATGGGCTGTCCTGGGGAAGTGGGTAGTTCCAGAGGAAAAGAATCAACAGAACAAAGTTTCGGGGAGGCAGTCTTCAGCTCAAATAATAATCATACACACAGTCCAAAGATATGATGACATGTCTTCATAAGTACAGAGGTCCCTGTTCCTGGTGGTGTTTAAACAGAGGCTGCCTCACAAGTATAAGAAATTACTAAAGTAAAGAAGTTGGACCAAGACTTCTCTAAAATACCAATTTCAATTCTGTGACTCTCCACTTACCCAATATTATACTGCCCTGCTAGCTCATCTGCCACGATCTCTCAAAAATGCCTTTTTCTCTGATTAGAATTTGCCCAGATCCTAACCACTTCTGGCCTGAGCATAGCACAAGTCTCCTAGATTGGCTTCCCAACCTCAACATCCTTCCTCACATGTCAAAACCACCTCCTTCGAGGCCTATTCTGAGATGTAACTTCACTTCACAGTGGCCTTTACCTTCCCTGTCTAGGCAGGGTTCCTCAACCATGGCACTACTGACGTTTCAGAAGGGATAATTCTTTGTCATGGGGGATACCCTGCACATTGCAGGATGTTTAGCAGGCTCCATGGCCTCTACTCACTAGATGTGAGTAGCACCTGCCTCCTAGCTAGGAAAAGCAAAAATAAAACCGTGCCCAGATATTCCCAAATGTCTGCTGGGAGGCAAAGTCACCCCCTGTGGAGACCCACTCTTGAGGCAAATGGTTAACACCACTGACTTGTGGTTCAAGTTTTCCACTAACTAGATCCCCTCTACCTCCCTTCATGTTCTCTGCTCCAGCCAGGCAAACCTATTTTTGACCCATGACACACCTCAACGCTTCCCCTAATACGTGCTCCTTCCCTCTTCCCCAACACACACAGCACTGGCTGGCTGTTTGGCTGGCTCCAAACACCCTTTCCTCTCGGTATTCCTTGGCCTCCTAGACAAATGCAATCCCTCGCTTCTGGTGGTGTCCTCGCGTGGGCGGTCTTACTTGCCCTCTGTTCGTACGTACAAGAATCCTCTTCTTCCTGGTTAAGGCATCACAGCACCCACTCTGGTTCTCTGCTTCTTGCTGGTACTTAATAACTATTGGCTGGCATTTCTCAGAATGTCAACATCAGCTCCAATGATACATGAAAAATATGGGAAATCCCATACCAACTGCCATTTCAAGTACATATGTAATCATGAGCACAGTTTTGACAAAACTTTGACTTTTTCATAGCTAGTGCCAATTTACCTACAGTACTGAGACTGAACCAAGTCCGATTTCCAAAAGACAGCTACCGAAATAATTCAGCTATTGGGACCTTACAAACACAGCACACTTTAAAAAAAATTAAACAAAAAAGTTCTGCTCACTATAAAAATTAAGAAAAAAAAGGTCACGCTTTGACCAAGTTTTTTAAATTCTGTAAACCTTGGCAGAAAGAAAAGGATACAAATATGGCTCAATACTTTAACTGTTACATCATACACCATTCCACATGGTCATGAAGAGACTGGAGGGCTGGGTCATGTAAGGACAGTTTCCTCTCCAACCTTGTAATGTGTTAGGTTTTAATCAACAAAGTACACACACACCCTCAATAAAAGTGAGACAAATCTAAGATAAAGTGTTCAAATATATAAATAAACCATGCCGATTTAAGATTCTGGATTGCTTTTTCCCCAGCTCTATGGATTACCTAATCATTTCATGGGAGGCTCCCTTACTAACCTATAGAGACCAACAACTTCGCCGGAACCCTAGTTTACCTAATTTTCATCTCAGGATCTTTCCTATCTTGTTCTCGTATTTTAACAGGGTTTTAGTCACTCGATGTAGAATACAGGAAAAGAGACAACTCTCACCATGTCCTCGCTGATGGGAGGTGTCTGGTCAGTATTAATGGGCTGTAAAAATAAATGCTGCCTGAAGACCCCATTTACTGGGAATGGTGCAGGGTTCTTCCCACAGGTCTGTACCATGCAGAGGCCCCAGCAGCTCTGGCAGGGAAGGTCTGAATCACTGTCATTCTTGGCACTTGGAAGTGCCCTTCGGTTGTTTATGAAGTAAACAGCCCTAACCAGTACTGCAGACGGGAATTCCCTGCCTGCCCAGACTCTTCCAACGTCTGGCACAGAACACATAATAGGTGCTCAATAAATGCAGCCTGTCTAGAATTTTATTATCAAAGCTGCTAAGGAAAGTTTCCATAAGTCAGCTCTCTCTTTACTCCTGAATCTCTCAAAATACGTCCTCAAAGCTTTCCTTGCCCAACACGAAATATTTTTTTCAAAGTCAAGGAGAAGGAAAGGAGGAAATCTGCAAAACAGAAAGAGCCACATAGGAGTCCAAGTGGCTCAAGTTGGGCCCCACAGTCGGCTAAGGACTCCCCGACACCCATTCCCCATCCCCTGCGCCTCCTGAGTGCTCCCACACTCTCACCTTTGCACTATTTCTTTTCTGAAACCCTTCGTCCCCACCTTCTGCCACATACACCCCCAACTGCGTATCCAAATGGGGCCGCATACCCCCCCTCTCCCTCTCCAGCAGCAACCTACCTCTCCTCCCCTCGACCTGCAGCAGCTCTTCTTTACCGTGGCTGGCTTTGTAAGAAACCAAAAAAACTCATCTCTTTATCCAGAAGGGATACCCCAAATGAAGGGGGAGAGAAAGAGGAAGGCCCTATCAACCCTCCAGTAAGCGGAGGTGATGATTTCCTGAGCAACCACCCCCCAAGCCTCCTCCTTTCCAAGCCACTGAACGGGATTTGAGCAGAAGTCCGGCTCCCAAGTGCCCACGCTTCCAAACAAGCTAGAAGCGGATTATACCGGTACCCAACCCGGAGATGGCCCGGGGCGGGCTGGGTGCACCTGCGGGCCCCCGGCTCCCTCCCTCTCGCGCTGAGGGCGGGGCGAGCCCTCACTTCCCAGCCCAGCCCACCCGGCGCGGGAAGGAGGCGGAGGGGAAGCGTTTCTGGAGAAGTTGAAGGGCTCACCTTCTGGGCAGTGGGCCAGCGAGGCCAGACACCAAACACCCACCTCCGGGAAGAATCAGTGGAGCCGTAACCGGGTCTCCCCGCCCTTCCGATGGGGCGGAGGGAGGCGAGAGAAGGGAGCGCGCGTGGGGGGAGCCGAAGGGAGGCGGTCGCAGGCACTGTGCTCTCGCGGGGCCCACTCGGCTACCGCGGCGCCCGCCGTTCAAACTGCCGAAAGCAGAACGATCTTCGGGCCCCAGCGGGCCGAGGCGGGCGCCCGGCCCGGCCCCGCCCGCCTCCCCCGTCCCCGGGCTCCTGGCCCCCCGGCAGCGAGGTCCCAGCCGCAGCCTCCTCTCGGGCTGCGGCGCCGCGGGGCAGGTCGCCGGCGCCGGGGTGGCGCGCGTCGGCTCCGGCACTGCTCCCACCGGCGCAGCCCCCAGCCCCTGCCCCGGAGAGGCGCGCACCAACCTTGGGGGGCAGCTTGGCCGCCTAGCCCGGCTTAGGCGGAGGCGGGAGGTGGCGGCATCACCTGCGGCGTGCGGTGGCTGCTCCCGGACGTGCCGGGACGGCGGAGGCGCGCGGCGCCCAGGACCCTGCTTTCGCGGCCCCGCCCGCGGCTGCCACCTCGAAGCGCGGCGGAGGAGCCGGGGCACCACGGGCGGCGGCAGCGGCGGCGACGAGAGCAGCAGCACATGACTCTGTAGCGGGGGGAATTAAACAAAGCGTAACATGGACTCCGGGCCCGTGCAGGCGCTGCAGCTCCGGGACCAACCGCAGCCAGCGAGCGCCGCGACTGGCTCGGCCGCAGCCAATGGGGCGGGCTCGGGCCTCCATGTGATGGCGAGCTCTCTCCCCCGCCGGCTCTCCCGCGTCTGCCGGAGGTCGGGGCGCTTCCGCCGCCGGGCGTGCTGTCCGGAGGGGCGGCGTGGCGAGTTCGGTGGCCCGGGGTCTGACGCTGGCGGCGGGAGGCTGCTGGACTGGGCGCAGGTGCAGCCGGCGGGGAGGGGCAGCCGCCGTAGCTCGCAGTCGCCCCATCGCTCAGCTGTAAAACGCCCCCCTGGACAGGGCGCGGGGCCCGGCGGCCAGTGTCGCCAGGCGGGCGCGAGGCCACCTCAGGAGCCTTCATCCCCCCTGGGGCTATCCTGTCAACTCAAGCTCTGATAGTAAGACGGGGGTGGGGTGGGGGATGCGGTGAAATGGTGGGGGGAAATTTGAGTAAAAGTCGTTTCGGCGGCTTCCAACCCTACGGAGAACGCGCTTTCCTAGGATTTGGGGCACACACAACTTTATCTTGGCACGAATAGCGTCCCACCCTCATTTGTTCAGTGTCTGCTATTAAACATACAACGAGAGAGTCAGTTCTTGTTTTATTCTGAGTCTACTCTCCCCCCCCCCATTCTTTTATGCCAAAAATGTCTTGTATCTGAAGCAGGCAGACGAAAGGTTGTCCTCCGCTAAGAAGTGTTTCCCAACATGATAGTTTTCCCTCTTGTTTTTGTGGTAAGATCAAAGAATATTTGCAGTGTTTTTCGTGGGTGGGGAAACGTAGGGGTCAAGAAATAACGTCAGGAGTGATGTTTGGAGTTGTTGGTTTTTAACATGACAAATGGTTCCAGCCCAGTACTTCAATATCTCCTTTCATCTGAATACACCCGTTTCTGTGAACAATGGGAAATCTCATCTCTCTTCTCCCAAGATCTCTCCATGTCAGTGAATGTTCAGTCAGCATTTACTAAGCATCTGAATGTTGCTCATAAGCATGCTGCACAAAATGTTACAGGTACTCAGGAAAGTGTGAGTTCAGATTTAATGAGGCAGTAAAGAGAGTGGTTTTCTAGGGTTTCAGGAAAGACTTCAGAGAGAAGGGGGTAGAATTGACCCTTGGAGAGTGAGCACTTGTTCCTCAGGCACTGGAAGTAAAGTAGAGCAGCACTGAGGAGGAGTATGAACAGAGGTCCAGAACACACTCAAGGGACAGTCCTAGACTACTCACAAGATGACACTAGATTTCCAGCCCTTTTGACATCCTCTTGCTTTCTCACTTTCCCTGCCCCGTCCCTTGTGCCAGCAGCCTCTCCTATTCCACACACCCAGCCAAGGAGGTGTGTAGGCAGGAGTTGTGGCAGGTGATCTAATTACAGTACCAGATTCGCTGATCTGGGAGGTTAGAGCTGTTTTCAAACTGTTAACGTCTAGTGGTGTGATGTTTGGATTGAAAACACCTCACTACTATAATTAATTTGGAATGTTTTGCTGTTAGTAAAAACACAGTTCTGTGTTTTGATCTTCTCTGAGTTTTAAACTATGATTCTAGATTTGAGAGAAATGTGATTTCCGGAGTGGGATAACTTGAGAAAAGAAAAAAGTAATACTCAGAAAACAGTCAAATGTAGAGAAAGAGGTACATATTCTTATAAATGAATGCAAATTGGGTAAGTCCCTTTGGAGGACAATTTAGCAATTTGGGATGAAATTAATATGTGAGGTTCTTTTGACCAGGCAATTCAACATCTAGGAATTTATACTTTGGACATATGTGTGCAAAAATTATGTATTTCAGAAATATTTACACACATGTAGAAAAATATAAGTACAGGTATGTTTATTACAACATTGTTTATAACAGAGGAAACATATAACGGTGTATAAGTCTAATAACAAAATCCCAGTAGGGAACTGGTTAAGCAAATTTAACTTGTTTTATAAAAATAAGAGACCTATTTGTACTAACATGAAAGAATGTCCAAAATCTGTAAGTGAAAAAAGCAAGTTGCCGAACAATATGAATAGTATGATCCCATTTTATTTGCATATTTTGTCAAAAATACACATGTTATAAAATGTATGCTTAGAGGAAATCTGGAAGCATATATAACAAGCAGTTAACAGTGGTTATCTCTGGATGTGGGATTACTAGGGCCGTTTGCTTTCCATTACAAATTTCTGTATGTTTGAATTGCTTTTATGTTGAGCACCTATTACTTTGATAATAAGAAAAGTAGTAAAAAGGGGGTCCCCTGGTGGTGCAGTGGTTGAGAGTCCGCCTGCCGATGCAGGGGACGTGGGTTCGTGCCCCGGTCCGGGAGGATCCCACATGCCGCGGAGCGGCTGGGCCCGTGAGCCATGGCCGCTGAGTCTGCGCGTCCAGAGCCTGTGCTCCGCAACAGGAGAGGCCACAACAGTGAGAGGCCCGCGTACAGCAAAAAAAAAAAAAAAAAAAGAAAAGTAGTAAAAAAAAAATTTAAGACAAAATTGCTAAGAGCTGTACCAATGACAAATAATGAAGATCACTCTGAGGGTCTAGGAAGCAAAAAAAGGTCACCTTCCCCTATTCCCCAAGGAAAACAAACAGGTAGGAGGCAGTAAAGAACGATAACTGATTTGACATTGGATTCAAAATGAAGAAATATGATAGAAGAGGCATCTGAGGCTACTCTAGGCCTGTCTACAGGGATCTGGTGAGGGAAACACAATAAGGCTTCAAGGAAGTTCTAGTCAGCAGAGACTTGAGAATATTTACTGTCCTTTGTTGAGTTATGGTCACAAATCGGCAACTATTCTAGCCCTTGTTAAATCTGTATCACACTAATAATGACAACAGCTAACACAGTGCTTGTGATAGGCCAGGCACTGCCCTAAGTACTGTACATGTGTCTACTTTTAGTCCTTGCGGCAACCCTATGAGAGAAATACTACTACTATCCTCATTTTTTAGAGATGCCTGGAGAGGTTATATAAGCAATCGGAGATCACACAGCCTTTAAATGGCAGAGCTAGACTTTTAAGCCCGGCAGCCTGGCTCTAGAGGTCCAAACACTCACAATACTGAGGACCATATAAGATAAAGACCTTTATGCATGCATCTCTTTCTACCAAGTATTGTGATTCTAAGTTGATTTGTGTTTACCTAAACTGTAGCACTTGGCATGCCCTAAGGCACTCGATAACACTTTAAAAAATAATAAATTTATTTATTTTTGACTGTGTCGGGCCTTCGTTGCTGACGCAGCTTTCTCTAGTTGCGGCGAGTGGGGGCTACTCTTTGTTGTGGTGCGCGGGCTTCTCATTGCGGTGGCTTTTCTTGTTGCAGAGCACGGGCTCTAGGCGCGCGGGCTTCAGTAGTTGTGGCACATGGGCATCAGTAGTTGTGGCTCGAGGGCTCTAGAACGCAGGCTCAGGAGTTGTGGTGCACGGGCTTAGTTGCTCCGCGGACCAGGACTCAAACCCGTGTCCCCTGCATTGGCAGGCGGATTCTTAACCACTGCGCCACCAGGGAAGTCCCAGTAATACTTATTGAATGAGTGAATGAATAATTGACTCTCCTACTAGAGAAGAATCTGAGCTCCTTGGAGGAGTGATTTTGCATTGTTCCTGTGTTTGTCACCCAGTAGCGTGCCCAACATGTGGTAAGCGATACGAATTTCAGTAATCTGTAAACATGTTTTTGAAAAGTTGTGCAGAAATCAAGCTTTGTAAGTTGATCCCAAATACATCCCAAATATCCAAAAGGGTAGCTTATAAGTAATATCATGATGAATTCCTCATAGAGTGAAGAATAGCCCTGGGGGGCAGAGCTAAGTCTGGTTGCACCTGTATAACCATACACAAATAAATGTGTGGCAGTAACACCGATGAGCTGAAGAGCTACAGGATTTTAAATTATATGAGCCTCTCTCTCTTTCTCTCACCTCTCTAGGTTATTGAAATGGAGATAATAGCACCTATCTCCAGATATTGTGAGACCAAGGATTCAATCACATATGGAAATGTCTTAGCCAAGTGCCTAGAACATAGCTATTGTTAAGTAAATGCTACCTACTATAAGTGTATCCACATATTACAAGTGTGACAGATTTCTTAGTCTATGGTTATTCTGTAAATACTGCAGCTTACATAACATGCAACACCTCGGGGCTCACATATACATAAGGCTTAGGAATTACATAGTCGCAGTTCAACCTAAGCACATGGTAAGCAGTACTCTTATCTTTCTTCTCCTGTGCTACCTCCCACTGTTCTCTTCTATTTCTTTACATGGGTTAAAACCATTTCACTTCTTGGACCTATTTAAATGCTCAACCTTGGAGGTAGGAAGCAAATTGTCTGCCTTCTTCACAGCTAAGGAGACTGAAATGCTGGAGACCAGACTAGAAATGAACAGGTGGAGGGTAGAGAACAGTGTGGAGAAAAGGAACCGAGCAGGGTGTGTAAGGTAACTCTCGATGCATCCTGACGTAACATAAGGTCCAAAGGGAAAGGAGAATTGCCAGACTGCTATAGTTAGAAACAATGTGGTGAAATTGAAACTAGAAAAACTAAGGGTAAATGTGTTAATCAACCACAATGAGAAGAAAGAAATGGACCTATACCTTCTAAAATGGACTCATAGGGAGATCAGATCAGGGTTGCCTGACTGGTAAGCCAGAGCTTCTTAATTGGTAACCCTAGTCTAAGTATTCCCTTCACTGGGGAATTTTTTTTTTTAGAAAACATAAAGAAATTCCAAAGCCAACTGCTTGAGAGTCTGTACCCATATCCTCTGCCTTCCTGCCTGCTACTACTAAGGATGAACTTACCCATTTTCTTATCGAAAGCCAGCCCCTTCACTTTTGCGCAAGATCTCATTCAATCTCAAATGATAACTCTAGCAATTGACCCCTGTCCCCTATAGATTGACTTTCCCCTCTCTACTGGATGACTGCCATCACCATTTTTTTAAATGTTATTCTCCCATCATTAGGAATAAAATTTTTCTTGACCTTGCTTTCCCCAGTCCACTTCTTCTCTTTCCCTTGCATCTAAACATCTCAAAAGAATTGTTTATACTTATTATCTCCAATTCAGTTCTTTCCATTTTCTCTTCAACTCCATCTAATCGGGATTTTACTCCCATTGCATCACTGAAATTGATCTTTTTTTAAAAATTAATTTATTTTTGGCCGCATTGGGTCTTCGTTGCTGTGCGTGGGCTTCCTCTAGTTGCGGCGAGCGGGGGCTACTCTTCATTGCAGTGCTCGGGTTTCTCATTGCGGTGGCTTCTCTTGTTGCGGAGCACCAGCTGTAGGCACGCAGGCTTCAATAGTTGTGGCTCACGTGCTTTAGAGCGCAGGCTCAGTAGTGGTGGCGCACAGGCTTACTTGCTCCGAGGCATGTGGGATCTTCC